AAGATTGTGAAAATTTTATTCGACTAAAATACTCATTTTTGAATTTAGTCCCTATTTAACTATGAGGTTTAAATTATACATTGAACTACTAATTTTCACCACATTCACCCTATTTAAATCTTACATTTTTTGATAAATGAACAATAAAAAGATACACAAATAAATAAATAAATAAAACATTACAAAATGAATAGTCTACCCAAGTAGTAGAGGTGCAAATGGATGGGATCATGATCCAATCCAATCCTTTTTTGTCAAATTCAGATATCCCCAATCCATATCTTCAATTAGGTTAGATAATAGGATCTAGTAAAAAACTGGATCAATTTCTAATCACTCCCTATCCGAATATATATATATATATATATTATTTATATCATTTTTTGTAATTTTGTTATATTGTTTATTTTTTTATAGAAATGTATATATATATATAATGAAAATATACTTATATTTGTTGTTTTTTATTTAAATTATTATATTATAACTTTTAAATATTTTTTAAATTAAATTGGAATGGATCAAATCCAAATATCTAACTCCCTCGTTAGATTCGTATTCAAATCCATGTTTATGAAATACAATCAGATCTATTGTTAATAGTATTGGATTAGATTCAGATATACCCTTATTCAAATCCGGTCCAATCCATTTGCACCCCTACCAAGTATGTAGGCTTGTCAGTGATACTTGAAACTTCACAGCTCAATCAAATTGTCACGTGTTTGGATGATATATTTATGTAATCAAATTTTGATTTTGTAATCTGCATCTGATTAATAATAAAAGTATAAAATATAAAAACATAAAAGTTTATAGAAAAATTTTGGATATATTATTACTATCATTATCATCATATAGAATTGCCACATGCATGCTTAGTAGTACTATTAAAAGTATCATTGAGGGTGTGGAACTTTATTTTTTACTAAACTACCCCTATTTTTTACTTTAGTTCCTCTTTAATTACTAGGGCTAATAATGTAATATCCCTTACAAATTTTCACCTTATTTACTTTTCTTCGCATTAAGCTTTATATTTAAGGAACAAATTCACATTTTCTCACATTAAATTGTATTTAATAAATTATAATAATTAAATCTTTATCATTATCAAATACTTTTTTAACAACATGAAACCCATGTTTTTTAAAGAGTAAAATGCTAAAACCTCCCCTGAAGTTTCTAACCATTGCTGAAACCTCCCCTTAAATTTGGTAATTGCAATCACCTCCCCTGAACTTTTTAACATAACTGCAAATAGACCCCTTCTCTTATAATTCTCTAACAAGAGGCATGAAAATGTCAAAAATAACCATTTTGTTACTTTGACTAAAATGTTTATTTTCCAAAATTTCCCTTCCTATCAACCACTACTCCAAACCTTTCCAACATCTTTTCCAAATTTGATTTATTTTATAAATATTTCCCCTTCATGCAAATCCCAAAAAACATGCAAACTCTCTCTCTTTCTCTCTCTCTCATTGTTGTTCATAAAGTTTGCATTGTGCTATGAAAAAACCAGCCTCAATGGTAACTGTATGGGTATTTTGGACATTTGTGTGCCTCTTGTTAGAGAATTCTAAGAGATGGGATCTCATTGCAACTTAGAAAGTTCAAGGAAGGTGATTACAGTTAGCAAACATTAAGGGAGATTTCAGGAATTGTTAGAAATTTCAAGGTAGGTTTTCAACAATTTATCCTTTTTTCTAAAATTAATCCAAAAAAAAAAATGAAACCATTCTTCAATCCAAGTGGTGGATAAGCCAATTTGACCATATTGGGTCAATTGAGTGAATCCATGTGGACAATTTCCCTGATATTTTATATTACTCATAATAAACAAAAATAAGTGTCATAAACAATAATTTTTTATATTGATAACATAAATGAAACACAATTTTTAAAACCACAAAAAAAAAAGAATTTATTTCTGTTTGGTCCATATTAGTAGTTCAACTTTTAGTTAAAATGTGCCAATATTTGATTTCATAGTTAAATAATAAAAATGAAAAATACATAAATTTTGCAAAAAAAAAAGAAAATAAGCATTTGGGCACATATCTAATATTGTAAATTCATCATATTAAACAAAAACAAGTGTCATAAACAATAATTATTTTATGCACATGAAAATATAACAAATGTAAAAACTGTAATTTGAATTTAGTCATTTTTTAATTGTGAGTGCAAAAAAAAAGTAATTTGAACTATTATTTTTTGCCTCATTTAAATCCCTATCATTAAGTCATATATTTGAGGTGCCAACACCTATATATTTTCTCACCAATCAATTTTGTTATTACATTTATATTTAATACTTTTAACAATAAATATCATTTTTTTTCAAAGTTGAACAAAAAAAAATGAAATTGTCCTTGTGTCTAGGTGATGGTAAGCAATTCAATCATCTATGTCTGATGGGTCAAGCCATGATGTTATAATTAAATAATAAAAATTAAAGAAATACGAAAATAAAAAAATACATAATTTGGATGTATATTACTATCTTCAACATCTAAAATTGCCATATATATATATATAACAATACCTAACTAGAAGAAATATGAAAAAGAAAAATAAGCAAGACCTAACCAAATTCTTTGTTGTTGGATTATTTATTTGTGGTTAAAATCACATGTTTCACTTTCTTTTGTATGGTTTAATAATGGTAACAAACCTTATTTTGGCTTTCGAGCTAGTTTTCTACTTTAAAAATGGCTTATATATATAGTTGATTATGCCCTAGAAAAAATATTTATTTCCTCCAATACTAGTTTCACTTCATTCATATACTATTATTATAAAATTGTATTTTTTTTATTATAAAATTACATCTTTAATTAATTATACGAGTTCATAATTATACAAAATTATAGCCGTGTTTTTTAAATATAAAAATATAAACTTCATTTTGATGAAAATAGGTACCTTGGGCCATTTTCCTCGATTAATCTATAGCAAATACAATGCACATTGTTTACCGCCCAAACTGACTGGATTATGAGTCAAAATTGGTTCAGCTTTGTTCATTTAAGCTCTATCTTCAAATTGGGGTTTAGTAAATACAATATATACTGGTTGCCTTATAATGTTTTAAATTTCAATTAATTATTATTTTTTTGTGATAAATAAAGTTCATTAGAAGCAAACAAGGGGACAGACCTAAGCAAGCGCTAGGAAATCCCGATACAGCGGAACTGAAAGACTAACATGCACAGAGTTACGAGAAGTAAAATCAGAAATAAAACCAAGTTTTGCTGCTTCATGGGCAGCCAAGTTCTCCTTCCTTGGGGCACCACTGGAAACTAAAGTTTCTCTTCACCGGTAGATTTTTAATATATTGGAAGCAAAAGACGATCTCTGAAGGGATCTCAGGCTGCCTGTTGCTTTTTGGATGACTAATGGGGTGCAAGTGACCTTGAATTGGATATTTTAAAGATTTTTGAATGGGTTGCATTTTTTATGTTGTTTATCCTATTACATGCATTTTCTTTTTTTTTTCATGTTTTTAATATCTTTATATGTTAATTGAATCTCAAATTTTGTATTTATATTTTTACATGTTAATTGGATTGTGTTGGACTTGAATTTTTCATGTTTTTTTTTTATTAGGGGCAGAATTAAAAATGATGGTTGTTTCTGTTTTGAGCCTCTTGATGAACCAAACATCATCAAGTATGAATCAAACTAGTAAGGGGAATAGGCCATTCCGATTCCGATTGTGAACCAAATGAACACTAATACTCTATGAGATAATTAAATGAGTAGAGATATAGTAGTTCAAATTACATTTCTTGCTTAGGGAGGGGGTGGGCTACCTCTGGCCCCATGAAGTAGATTTTATATTTGATTAAAATATATAATATCTAATAAATTTAAATTTATTTATTAATATTCATTATAATCTGAATTTGGTTAAATATGGTGAGAATTAATGTTCAATTTGTATTCGAATAGAAAAGAATAAGGAAAATTCCAGATTAGTACCATATACTTTGGGCCTAGTGTCACTTTAGTTCCTAAACTTTTTTTTAAAGGCAATTTAGTCACCAAACTTTAAACACATGACAATTTAATGCTGAACTTTCTAAACATGCCAATCTATTACTTGGCATTAACCATCATGTTAAGTAATTGTTAAGTGGTATTTGAAAAGATGCAAATACCCTTCGAGTGTCATCTAATTTTCCTTATCAACCATTCAAACGTTGATAAAAATTGAATAGTCTCAAATCCTTACATCTTCTATTCCAGAAAGTTGGAATCACATCTAAGTGGGCATTATGGTGATTAGACTTGTCCATAGGTCGGGTAGCTTGGCTGCTTGACTTGTTATTTTTCGAGCTTGGACAAAAGTTTAGGCCCATGGGCTCGGGCTCAGGCTTTAAATACTAGGCTTGGTCATTTTTTGGACCGGGCTTGAGCTTTTGCCCGGTCCTGAGCCCGATACTATTATATATAATAAAAAAGCATTTATGTTATATAACACACACACACATATATATATATATATCATATTTGTTTCTTAAATTATTAATAAATATTAATCTACTATTAGGAAATACAAATTAGTTTATTAATTTATTAAACAATTATTAAATTAATATATTAATTTAATATAATACAATGAAAATTAATATAATAAACATACAATAAAATATAATACATTTTTGTATAATAGGTCAGGCTTCGGGCTTTATATAAGGGCTGGGCTCGGGCTTGAGTTTGCACATTTTTTGTTGATAAAGAGGGAAAGTCCGGTCCATGAATAAGTTTAATGATAATCTGACTTTCTTGAAGGCAAATATTTGAACTATTTAATTTTTATCAACATTTAGATGATTTATAGAAAAAGGGGTAAATTTCTTAAAGCATCCTCATGGTTTAGTTAATTTACTAACTCCGTTAGTATTCCATAAAAAACCGCATACATGTGAGACGACGAGACATTTAAACTTCTTTTAAAACTCAATATTACCCCTCCCTCGTCCCCTTCCTCTAGAAACCCCTTATCACACCTCCCTTGTCTTCTCTCTTATATCTCTCTATTTTTCTCTCTCTTACCTAGGATCGGAAGAGCAAATATGGATTTACTTTAGAAAATAAAAAATCATCAATATGAGGAATCTCTCAAAATAGAGAAGGGCGGGTAGGGTGGTTCTAGCCAAATTGTCGCTGCTACTCTTAACAGCAGCAATGACAGAGAAGGAAAAACAGGGGAGGTGAGGTTGAAGAAGGAGAGAGAGAATTCCAGCCAAATGCACCGACATCATTCAACTGTTGAAAGGTGACCTCGTTGTTGATAGAAACGAAACCCTGACCTAGTTCTATCCAAAGGTTATGGCGCTGGCAGCAGCTATAGTGGTTGCTGTAACAAACGAAGGGGAAGAGAGAGAGCGCTACCTCGTCTGTGAAATTGAAGGAATGCCTTTTATTTCCAAGGCAATCATGACAGAAACGAAACCCTGGAACATTCTTCCTTGGTTGTAGACATCCATTTTCTTGTCTTATTCTCCTGTAGACATCAAGGCATTTTTGTTAAAGTTGCAGAAGCATCTTAACCCATTAATTTTTCTTCTTTCCCAGGTCCTCTAGCAGAGGTTTTATTGTGGATATGTGCTCCTTGGTTGGCAGCGCCGATAATTGACAGTGGAAGAAACGGGCAGCGGTGGATGCGGGAAATCGGCGAGAACGAGAGAAAATTTCTCTATTTATATTCACACAGAGAAAAATTTCTCCTTCCCATCTGTCTTGACCAGAAAGAGGGGGAGGCTCTTGCGGAAGCCTTGCCCGCCTGTTACAGTATTTCACCACTGTCAACCACTGTAGCTGCCGCCATCGTCATAACCACCACCACCACCATGGGCTCGGAATCACAGGAGTGAGGACGGCACCATCCTGAAACAGTCAATCTCCTTCCCATCTATCTTGACCAGGAAGAGGGGGGAGGCTCTTCCCCTTCGTCTATTACAGTATCTCACCACTTCACAGCAACTATTGTAGCTGCCGCCATAACCATCACCACCATGGGCTGGGAATCGCAAGAGGGAGGGCGGAACCACCCTGAAACAGTCAATCTCCTTTCCATCTATCTTGACCAGGAAGAGGGGGAGACTCTTGCGGAAGCCCTGCCCGCCCTCAGAGATCCCTCGTATAGATAATTTCTTGATTTTCTTGAAGAAATCGAGATTTATTCGTTGTAAGAGAGAGAAAAATAGAGAGAAGATACCGGAGGTTTGAGAAAAGGTTGCCGGAGGAAGGGGACGAGGGAGGGGTAATATTGGACGAGGAAGATATAATATTGGGTTTTAAAAAAAATGGTGTTACGTGTATATAGATTTTGATAGCATTAATCAATTTTTAAACAGTAAGAATACACTTAGTAATGCCACTTAACCGTTAATTAACGGCAGGCACTCAATTGACACGATATTGAATTTGTTGCGTTTTAAAGTTTATGCGGCGCACGCGCAATACACGCTACTAATGGGGAATTTTCCAAAAGAAATAAAACCTGGTATCTGGATGTATCTATATCCGATTTGTGTCGATCCGTTTGCAGCCCTAAATCTCGCTCTCGGAGCCAACCCCGAGGACTCGCCCAGTCGCCCATACAGCAGGGAGGAGTAATTCCCCAAATTCAGGTGTCCAGGGGAGTCCTGCGTCTCTGTCGTCGACCATGGGTATGTTCTAATTAACGTCAAGTTCTGCACATTGTATCTGCTCCTTCCTCTTATTATTTAGTCATCACTGATTTGTTTATGGCGAGTACAAATGAGAATTCCTAGGAAAAAAACCTCAATTCCTAAAAGCATGTAATAGGACACTGAGGCTGTGTTTTGATTGTTGGTTGAAGTCAATTCATGCAAGGAGAACAAGTCCAGGCTGCTGATACTATATGCGACGCAGACCGGGAATGCTTTAGATGTTGCAGAACGCGTGGGTCGTGAAGCTGAACGGATTGGGTGTCCTGCCCTGCTCCTCTCCATGGATGAATATGATGCTGTAAGATAGTTGTATCTCCCTTACAATCGGATGCTCTCCTGGGTTTTCATGTTTTTATATCATTATCTATGAACAAAAATATGAATTTTCCACAATGATGATAATGGGAATTATTCCCATTATCAGTGTGTAAGATCTTTTTTTTTTTGTTTGTGTAATTCCTTAAAAACATAAATGTTTTCCAAAGCTTGACTTGTTTATTGTTTCAGAGTTGTCTTTCGAATGAGGAAATTGTGATGTTTATTGCTTCGACCACAGGCCAGGGGGATGCCCCGGACTCCATGAAGGTTGGTTTTATCAGTTTATGTGTATAGATGTTTTAAACCACCCTATACATCATCATTGATTCAGTGTTTGACTTTCTACTTTTCCCCTTTTATAGGCATTTTGGAGGTTTCTTTGCCGGAAAAATCTTGATCGTCTCAATCCGCCTTGGCTAGGAGGACTTAGTTTTGCTGTCTTTGGATTGGGTGATTCTGGTTACCAAAAATACAATGTAACGATTTCCTAATTTATGTTTGTAGCTTTGGGATTATTGCAATCTTTCTTCCTTTCTTTCCTTTCTTCTTTGCTTCCCTTTCCTGATTGAACTGTTGACATCTTAGATGTTGTCTAATCCCCTTCATTAGTTCCATTGCATTTTGAAGTAAATTTGCAATGACAGTGATGTATCATTACCGTTTTACTGTTTGTTATACAAGTTTTATTTAACCTACTTTTTAAAACACCTTTTTTAATAAAATATAAATGTACCATTAAAATGATAGTGTTTTTGGATGCATAGTAGTGAGTAGTGACAATTAAACTGGGGTGCTGACATCTAGTGATCCAGAATGGCACTATTTTTTGTATCATCTATCAATTCTGATTGATCTTGTATGTTTATTCTCTTGTAGCTATTCTGTCCTTCCTATTGGAGGAAAGTGTATGTATCATGTTGAATCTTTATCATTAATAAATTTGATGCTAGTGATATATATGTGTACATCCTGATACTTCAGTTAGTGATTTGTTATTTACCAAATTTATTTGAGTTCTTCCAGGTTGGGCTATTAACTTAGCATTTTAGAACATTACAATTTTCTGGCAAGATTCAACATTCCTTACTCGCAGTCCTTTATCTAAGGAGCTTAATGACATTCAACACTTTCAGTTCATGGATTGATATGATCTTCCTTTTGCTGTATATATTGTTTTACATATAAATCACCAGGTTAATATTGCAAATAGAGCATGAATGAAAAAAGTTTCAAACTTTATAGGTAACAATTTGTATGCCATAAGGTAACAAACCAACCATATTGAAAATAAGTCAAGAACCAACCAAATAGCCAAATGCTTGAAAGCAGAAGTCACATCTGAATGTTCATAAGCTCAGCCCCTTACATCCATGTTGGATCTTTTTAATTTCCTCAAGATCCTAATTCAGTTTGATGTGCTTTTTTATACAGTTATAGTCGCACAATATGCAGAAAATCCAAGTATCCAAGAGAAGAAGCAACAGGAGAGAAATAAAGGAAATTAGATGATACTAAACCTTAATAAAACTTGCATATTTTGTTGAATCAAGTAATTCTATGATAAGAAAAAGTAGCAACTAATGGAGTTGAATTTCATTGTGATTTGATATACTGAGAAGAACCAAACTGCAGGCTTTGTAGGTTCTTGCTTGAGCTGAAAAGCCTGAAATCCTGTTACAAGTTCTGAGAAAATGTGGGTTTGGAGAAAGGTGGTGTAAGTGGATCCAGGGCTGTGTCAGTTCTAGTCACTTGTCTTGGTTCATGGGGTGGTAAAGGATTTTTTCCCCAAAGTTGTATAGGTGCAAGGCAAGGGGACCCTTTATCACCTTTCCTTTTTACCTTATTAGCAGATGTGCTCACGAATGATATCAAAGGCTGATAGGGAGAACCTCATAAATGGGTGGAAAATAGGTAGGGAAGGAGTGTCGGTTACTCATCTTCAATTTGCAGACGACATCTTAATATTTTGTGAAGGGGGAGATATTGAGAATGTGAGGAATTTGAAGCTGTTGGTGAAAAGATTTGAAAGGATTTCCAATTTAAGAGTCAATCTTGAAAAGAGTAGTGTAGCAGGGGTGAATTTGGAAAAATAGAGTGATTGAAGCTATTGTAGGTTGCCTAGAATGCTCTATCTTTAATTGGCCTTTGACTTACTTGGGACTTCCTTTAGGGGCAAACCTTAGGGAGAGGTTTTGGTGCCCGATTGTAGAAAAGTTCAAAAAAAGATTGGCCTCATGGAAGAAGAATTATATTTCTTTGGGAGGTAGAATTACTTTGATTAGAGCGACCCTTGCTAACCTTTTTTTTTGATCAATAACAATAAGCTTTACTAATGAAGAAGTTTTGTGAAACTTTAATTACAAATGGGGAGGTAAACTGTTTTAACTCCCCAACAACAAAAAAAAAGAAAGAAACTAAAAATTAGCCCAAAAAAAGATTTCCTAAACACCCCTTGCTTGGCTAACCCATCAGCAATTGAGTTAGCACTTCTCTTCACCCATCTGTACTTCACCTCAATATCCCTACTCAGCCATTTTCATTACTGTAGCTCCACAAACCACTGTTGTCTTTGGATTCCTTCAGCTACCTAATCACCACCTCCCTTCAGCCACCTAATCACCACCTTCGAGTACCCTTCAAGGACCAAGCATCTGATGTTTAATTCTCTTACTCTTTGGGTTCCTTCCAGAACTGCAAAAATCTCAGCCCTAAGAGAGTCACCCTCTCTAATTGGGCTTGAGAACACGGTAGTAATAATCCCATCCTCATTCCTGAACACTCCCTCAATCCTAGAGAGCCACTCTTGCTAACCTTCCAACCTATTTTCTGTCTGTCTTTAGGATTACTGTTAGGGAAGCTAATAAACTAGGGGAGCTAATGAGGAATTTCTTATGGGAATCAGGGGAATGCAGGATGGATCATCTAGTAAAGTGGGAGGTGGTGTGTAAAAGTAAAACGACCGGTTGGGTCACCAGTTTGACTGGCCGGGTTGAATGGTTCAAACCATGCCACGTCAGCATACATGTATATATATGCAATGTTTTCAAAATAGGACCGGATTGGACAACCATACTAGAAAAATTGGGAACCTGTCACCTGACCGGTTCCATTTTACCCTAGAACCGTCTTTTGGCAAAAAACCGTTGATTTGGTTAATAAACCGTTGACCCGGGTGGTCGAACCGTATGAACTATCCAACGGTTTTTGGCCATTTTTATTTATTTATTTGTTAGTTGGAGACAAAAATCTAGACACAAGTGGATTAAGGAAGGCGATGGRARCACTAGATTCTTCCATGATTTGGCAAATGGGAGACGAAGAAAGAATTTTGTGACCAAGCTAGAGATAGGAGAGGAGTTGATTACCAACC